GAAAATAAGAAAATACATCAGAAATCCTTACCAGGGAGAAAACAGGTAAATGCAGCTCCAGGAACAAGAGTCAGACACTTGAGAATGTTTCATCCTCCCAAATTTACATCCTTACCCAGAAGAAAAATCTGCTGCTGCTGCTGCACGTTAACGAAGCCTGAGATCAATAGTAAGTGGGTAATTAAGAGCCTAGTTGTGTTTAAGGGACTTTCTGTTGCTTGTTTGATAAGCTCAAAATTGTATCTGTGTTTAAAACTTGCATTTTTAGTCAATTATGAAAAAATGAGCAGTAGGAGGTTGACAGGGAATTCCTGTAGATACTGGGAACTAAGCCTTGGGAAGAAGGGCAAGAAGACAATCCCAAAATCCCAAAACAACCAGGAGCAACTAAACAAAAGGAGCAGGGCTAACAACTGACTTGCACCACAGGCACAATGATGTTTTCAAAAAGTCACTCCAAGGAGTCAGATTAGAACCCATTTTGCACAGATTACTCTTGCCTTTGCTTTCTCAAATTTTTTGAAGTGAGTTGGTTTATTCTCCAACCTGTGAACAGGGCAATGATCACATGAAATCCAAACTGGTTTGTTTGGAGAAGTCATTAACAGTGAAAAAATAGAGCTGCCAGACTGCCTTGATCCTATGTTAGGAATTATATTTTGATGCAAAGTTCCTTCACACAGGACTGAAATCAGCTGTGTGCATGGGAAGGGCTGTTCATTACTGAACAGCAATTCCAGGTCTCATTAACTGGATCCTTTTGTGATACTTAAATACTACTGCAGCATTCCCACATCCCCTTCCTAATAATCACAAAATAAATGTATTTATACTTATTAGAAAGGAAATATAAAGATTTATGGCACATTTTTTGAAAGCTATTTATATACTTGCAAAACCAACAAACCTTGTTATTTTTTTTAATTAATAATGTATGTCACGGCCTTGATATTTATAGGTACAGTTTTTTTGCAAGAAAATGTTAATTATATTCACCAGCCATGAGCAGAATATATAAGAAGCAATTTATAAATTAAACACAGTAATTTGGGGTTTCAGGAAATCAGAAGTAAACTGAAATTATATTTAGATTCAAGGAGCAGAAATAGGTAGTGATTCACTACAGCACGGTAAAGCATAATCAACAGATGGCAGAACAGTACTGGTCTTGGGGGTTTTTGTTGTCTTTTTTTTCTTAGTACACATTAATCTACATTAGGTGTATAAGACAATTGTCAGTGCTTAATAAGGGTATGAGGACAAATTTGTGGTTTAGAAACGTGGCAATTAGAACACCTAAGAAATACGAAAGACGTGAACCCATGCAACTGATGACTGGAAAAATAAAGTTTTAATTTAGATCTGGAAGTAACAGTTCCAGAAAGCAGAGAGATTCAGAAAAAGGTTAGTTGTAATATGAGATTAACTTTTAAACTAAAACCACTGACATATGCAAAGAGGAAAAAAAAAAAAAAAAAAACAAAAAAAAAAAAAAACCAAAAAGAGAAGACAAGCCTGATTACTGTTAGTTCATGCTTGTCCCAAAACTAAAGTAAACCTGAAGTCATGAACCCAAAAAGCTGTTCCACAGCATTATGAATTAAGGGAAACCCAACTGTGGCACCTGAGAAACCACCAGCAGAGCTAAATCCCTCCTCTAAGTATTCACTGGGAAAAATAAACACACACAAAAAAAAAACAACTTAAAAAAACCAAAACAAAAAATAAAAACATCAACCAAAACCAAACACCAACAATCACAAAAAGGAAATAAACCCACCTACACACCTGCTTTGAACAAACTCAGTACCAGAGAAGGACCTGCAGGTAAATTGACCTTCCCAGTAGGAGTAAAGCAGGTTAATGAAGAAAAACACATTTTTGTCTCCATCTATTGGTCAGAAGCCCATTTAGCTGCTGGTTGGGTATGTATTTTGCAGTACTGTTCCAGAAAGGACATCTGTGTAGCAAATACCCCAATATCCCCATCTTTTCTATCTTGTGATGAGCCTTTTTGATGCCCAGGAACACATTCTCCATCTGCCTGATCAAAGCCTTTTTGTACAGAATGCAGGTGTCCAAGTTCATTATTTGCTTGTAAGGCTGCAATAATGCAGCAGCCTTTGACAAACCACCTTCCTCCCAGAGAAATAAAGTATGTGCCTTTTGTGAAAAGAGAATATTACAGAAAGGACCAGAAACTGAAGAGGTAATTTGAGTTTTTAACTAAGCACAGGAGTTAGAATAGCATATTGACATGATTTCTGGTGACCTCGAAACCAGAATGGTTTAAGGATTTTTTTTTTTTTAATAATAAATATAAATGTAAAGGTTTGAATGGAAAAGAATTAATGCTTTAGGAATTCTTCAGTCAGGGAAGTGCATTAGCACTTCAGGAGAGAAGATGCAAAGGGAATAAGTAGCTATTTAAATGTGAACAGCATCCCTTGATTTTTTTTTTTCCTTATTTTTTAACATTAGCTTCCACAATAAAACAACCTGTATATAAGTTAATATTGGCATACTGTCCCTGCTCAGAAAGCATTCCTGCTGCATTACAGAAGGCAGCTGGGCAGCACAGTAAATGTGTCATTTGCTATTTAACATCTCTGTGACCTGGATTTAAATTCAGAGTCACACAAAATGAGACTTCAGTTCCCTCAGAGGACTATTAAGGCACACACAGAAAGACTTGTGAGGCATCCAAAGCCAGAGGGAACGCGCTCCCTGCGCTCGCCCCTGCGGACACACACCCTCAGAGCCCATCGGGGAGAAGGAACTGGATAATTTTTATTAAAAGGATGTCTTCAGTTTGGAACAAGAGCACCCAACTACTGTGAATAAATCTTCTGTTTATTTAAAAGTTTACCCACAAGGCTTCAACCTCCCCGTGAGAAAAGGCATTTGATATGTCGCTTTATCCCAGAGCCTCACACAGAGCTTTGCAGGTCTAATTGTTTTCCTGTCCACAAAGAGCAAAAAGGAGAGCTGTGAAAATTCAAAAATGTTATATTCTCTCCCTTAAAGCATCATTACCCTCCATCTACTGCATAATACTCCCAGCCTTGCTGCTGCATCTGTGCACAGAGCGAGCTGTACCTCTTACCTTTACAAGGCAGGGCAAGTGCTTATGATGAGGCTTGTCTTTAAGCTCAAAACTCACCTTCTTTAGTAGTTTTACATATGCCACCAAAAAACAATTACAACTTCAGTTCAGCATGAGTCAGTGTTTTAGGCCCAGTTATTATTATCTTTTTGAGAACTGGCCCAGCAAGACCTGGAGACCAGCAAACAGGTGAGGTGGCATCTGTGTACATCACACATCTCAGGTGATGTGAGCCCAGCACCTCTCACCCCACTGCTGTGCCCTCCACCCTGATCCCACACCAGTTTGGATCCCTGCAGAAATAGACTTTTTTTTTTTTTTTTTTTTTTTTTTTATGGACTTAAACAGATTAATTCCTTGGTGCTCTGACTACTATGGTAGTACTGGCACAGAGAGGAGGTACAAAGGTATCATCTATGTACAGACCTAGATTAAATCTGACCCCTTAGACATGAACCTCAGTAACTCAGCTGTGAGAAGAGATACTTGTAAAATTTACAGGTAAATATTTTCCATAGACTTTGATTTTTGCCATCATTTCCTTGAAACATTGAAACAAAAAAATTTATTGCAGAGAGCCAAAGTTTAACCGAAGCATCTCAAAGTGTCAATCTAAATCAAATCACTCAATATTAATGCACACCTGTGTGAACTTCAACATGGTCTTTTCACTTTCCTTAAAAAACAAAATATTGTGAAATCTTTCTGAATAAAAAAATGAGAATGAACTGAGTGGTAAGTAGTGCTGAAAGGTTTCTGAGAAGGAGCAATCAAAAACAGCTATATTTTTCTGTACACTTTAAATGGTCCTTTGCTATGCAGAAGATAGATTCAAAGGAGAGATTTAAGAAGGATTTGGATACCTGTCTGATATGTGACAAGCCAAAATTAACTCTTCAAAACTCCCTTGGCTCCCTGATGGTTGTGTCTTGCAAAGTACCAATGGCCCTGGCAGGCATCACTCCCCTCACTGCCACCCTGCCTGCTGCAGGGACAGGACCTTGCCCATGTTTACCATGAATCTCCTTCCCCAAAGCATCTTATTATTATTTTTGTTGTTATATTAAGGGCCTTGCACAGCTCAGGCAGGTCCCAGAGCAATGTGAGGTCTGAGAGCACCACACCAGCTGTGCCCCAGCTGTCCTTGTTCCTCTCTTCAGGTATAAAAGTGCCACCTCCATTATCTGTCTCATTCCCACTCACCAAAACTATTTTATTATTTTATTGTACTAACAATAAGGAAGGACACCTGTCTTCAACCTTGGGCCACACCAGGCATTTTGTCTTGGTGGCAGCAGGAGATCCCACACCCACAGAATTCAAGTGGACCCAGTGAAGGCTTCTGCATCTCTCCAGAGTTTGAGTCATACACACACAGAGTTAAACCCACATGTTTTTCCATTTACATGCTCGGTTTTATCTGTATTTTGTCACTGGCACCAAGAGTTACATGTGCTAAAACACCTATGAGACCCAGGTTTCATCAAGGATCTCTTTTTTGGCAGAATTTCCTTTATTTATCTTATTTCCCTGCAGAAAACTCTAATTGGGATGTTATCTGCTGGCTTTATTCAATTCCAACAGGACTCTTCAGGGCTAGGGATACCTATAAATCAAATGCTTCAGAATAAATCAAAGCATAAAATTACATTGTCTCTGGCAAGAAAAAGATTTGATTAGCTGAATTTCCGTACAAAGAAATTACAGAACTTGCTTTGGAGTTTAAAGGCCTGATGTGTTCCCAATTGAAATGTAGCAAGCAAACAGGTTTGTCCCTCCAATCTTATCCTGACAGGAATCAGTTTGAGCTGATTTGTCCCCTCCCTGGTGACAGGGAGGGAAGGCAGAGCGCTTGGCATTGCAGATGGAGCTATTCCAGTCTGCACAGACCGGTGGGATGTTATGTGTAGCAGGAATTGAATTGTGCATCTCTCCCAAATGATGGGAAAATCACTCCCCATGAAGGTGAGGCTGTGGAAGGAATCAAAGAACGGCACAAACAGCACTACAAATAAAGGTCAGTGTCTTGCTGTGTTTTCTACAGTGAAAGACTAAATTTGGGGACGTGTTGGAAACAGGTAATTGCATTATCTGATGAGTATTTGTGGTCTATACAATCTTGTATCCTAAAACTGTCATCAAAGGTAAAAATGGGCAATATAAGGATTAGCTATAAAAGTCAGTAGTTAATGATTCACCATAATGCATGACTTAGCTGTAAGCTAGGAAAAAAACTCATAAAAATAGCTCAAGAAACTAATTTCTTATGCTTTTTCAGGCATACAGATGATTTAAACTCAGGCATTTCCATATTCTTCAGATCCCTGAGCAATGGCATTTGATGAGAAACCAATCTGTTTAAACATTCTCTTTTAGGGTGAATAACGACACTTTATGGCATCCTAGAGAAGATTGTGTAGTTCCATAATTGGTAATTTTGTACAGCTTGCATGAGGTCCCTTGTCATTTCACAAATTTCCCAAAGCAACTGCTGTGACTGGGGTGCTATAATTGATTACATGGAATTGCTGGGAGAGAGAAACAAGCACACAATCAATTACATTGATAGAAAATTGGTGGGGCCGAAGAGTCATTTATAGGAACCACAGCTGAACTCCTAACAGCAGAACAGGTGCCATGCTCACATTGTGTGCTCAGATTGCAGAGCACCTCAGGAGTGATTCTGGATCACCCTGGGTTAATTCCAGCAGGACAGCCCAGCTTTCCAGCGAGAGAAAAGCCAGAGCTCAGCATTTCAATGCCTGCATTTCTCTCCATGAAGCTGAACCCTGAGTTGTGTCCTTGGCTCTCTACAGGTGATGCCAACCTGAGATTTGCTACTGGTGTCTTCACTCTCCTGTTCCCTTTGCCCAGGATTACAGTCCTCAGTCATCAGAAAACACTTCTGGGAACACAAGGTCTGCTTTCAAATTCCTTTACATTTCTCTTTGTGAGCAAAGTTGAGTTTTAGCCATCGAGTGCAGTTTGTGTCAGATTTATCTCTAAGTGAGCAGAGTGCTTGTGATTTCATGGGCTCAGCTGATGAGGCTCAAATGAGCTCTAATGGTTTTCCATGTGCTACAGTGAGAGAGGTTCTGTCCTGCTTCATCTTGCTTCATCACAGCAGCTCAGACCCTATAAGGATTCTGCTTCCCACCTATAACAAAGGGAAAACTGGATTGGTGACAAAACAACAAACTCTCAGTTCTCCCCATGTATTTGGGTCCCACTTCTACTGCCAGTATTTTCCTGGGGTTTTCCCTGGTTTCTGAAATTTCACCACCAACTAACATTAGTGGTATAAGAATAAAAGATTTCCTATACAAATAAAAATGTACAGCTGAATTAATGTCTGACCCTCTGGGCAGAAACATTACTATGTGTGCCACAGCGTGGCCCGGACTCCTTCCCTTGCCATTGCTGAAAGCCTCATGTGTAACTGAAGCAGCCATCAGAGAATTAATGAGCAGAACTAATGAAGAAAAATCTTAATGGAAAAAAAAAAGTACACTTTTTTTTTTGAAACATAGAAAGTGGCTATGTAATTTTAGTTATATATATTTATTATATATATACATACTTAATATTTATGTATATGTGTGTACTTTATGCTGGTGTCTTTCAGAACGATGTCAGCAGTAGATGTGCCAGTTCTTGAACTCATACCCCAGTGTTTTTGTAAACACCACAAAAAACAATCTGAAAGTGCTTGTAGTATCAAATTCCTACACTGAAACCTTTCATCTCACTTCAGAGCTTCCCATAAAGACATTAAGCACAGTTATGAAAAACAACAGTCTTCCAAGAGCTACACTACAATGACTCTTGTCCAACACCAGCCATCAGAAAATCTCTTTAAGATGTTCGATGTGGTAAAATATGTAAATGCCATACAGTTGCTAGGAGATAAAAAACTACATGAACTTTTGAAAACATTGCAATCTGCTGCCTTTGAATCTGCAAGGTCAGCTGTATTTTTCATGATGATAACTTATTTATATTGTCTCCTTGCTAAAAATGAGCTTCTATGCAGGTTACCTCTTTACTTAATAGCAGCTGATCTACTGTACCTATAAATTGGTATTTATTACAAGGCTGGTTAATTTCCTCATGGAGCTTACAGCCCTTTAATTACATTCATCAGACTAATTAATAAATACACCGTACACTACTCTTTAAACAAGCAAAGGGTTTATACTCAACACTTCTGTATCCGTTTATTTATTTAAGCATTTCATTTAATGTTAGATATGTCTCTTTTTAATGAAAAACACTGGAAGAGGAGAATGAAAGTGTGGTTTATTGTCCAATTAACAAATCTAGTAGCTTACTCTGTCACTCAATGAATGATAATGCCTGGCTCATAAATCAGGAAGAAAACTACTTAGGCACAGATCTCGTAATCAATGCTACAAGTATTGGCTGCTTTCCACATAATCCAGACCTAAATGTGTGGCATGATTTTATTCCAGTAGCACATTAACAGAATGTACACCCATTTTGACTTCTGAAAATGGGATAACAGTGTCGCGGCAAAAAGCATTTGTCCATTTTTTAAAATAAATGTGTCCCAATGATGAACGTGTTCAGCAATTTTAGTGATGAAGCAGCACCGTGAACTAACTGTGGCCTCACAGTGGAGGCTCTTTCATCACCATGTTTCAGATGGGATCTCCATGGGATTGTGTTTTCATATGGACCTTGATTGTTCTGTGTTTCCATGCATATTCTCGGGATTCATGTATTTCAGTATCTGCACAAGAAGATTTTCTGGGCAGCATCACTTGCTCTGTTTGAACAAACGAGTGCCAAAGCACTGCAGGTTATTGGGGCAGTGGCCAGAGGTTTTGTAATATCATTTTGCCAGAAAGCTCAGAATGAAACCAGCAGCTTTCCCACTTCCATCCCCACTACTGACTCCGAGGCATTGTCCTGCTCCAAGGACTTGCCACTCTGCTGTGGAACGATGGCAACATTTCACTGTGTGTACTTGTTATATACCTCTCCTGATGTAAAGCTGCTGTCTTTTGAATGCTCAGAGGGTATTAAACAGGGTAAGTGCTAAAAGCATCTCTCCAGAAACATAACAAAGCCTTACTAAAAGACTTCACAAATGCACTGACAGAAAGCAAAGGGCAAGATCCATGGCTTCTGTCACTTCTTGGTTGACAACCCATTTTTGCTGATGCAGACACCGCAGGAAAGCCAAGGAACTGGAGACCCCAGCAAAATGACACATGGCACTGATGTGTCAAACATAAAAGCCTGGTGAATCCAACAATCTTATGTTGTTTTTCTTGTGTTGTTTTTTTGTATTTTTTTTTTCTCCCTAAAGTGAGCTCACTTAGTTTATAAGCAGCTTTGCCTGAGCTTTCACAGCTAGAGCTGTGGAGCAACAGTAACGGAATTATGAAAGATCCCCCTGGGATATTTGAAAGGGTGAGAAGGTTCCAGAGTAGTTGAAGAATAAATCCTAATTCTCATCCAAAAGAGAGAGAATGGGATAATCATGAAAATATTAGCAGAATAAGCATGTTGAGTAACAGCCAGAGGATCTTTTACCAAAGTCATCCTAAGCAGGATTGAGGAAACACTTAAATTAATAACATGTGGATTAGTACAGTTTTAGGATGAAATGGCGTTTAAGCACCAAATCTTTCTGATCACACAAAATGGAGAAATAGAGCAATTCTGTTTTTCTTGCAGAAGTTTCTTCACTTCAAGAAACGATCAAGATGTGCAATAATGGAAAATCTCTGAAACAAGAGAAAACAGGTTTGACTTTGCTCCACTGTACTGTCTACACATGTACTGAAGCAGGTAATTTAGATTGTTTTAGAAATATAATGGAAATATATATTTTTTCCTGTTTTCTTCTCTTCCTGGAAGAAGTAACACCTTTCCTAAGGGAAATAGTTCATGTACTGCCATGATGATCTTGGCGCTACCAGAACAGAACAATCAATGCATGTTATTGTGAGAATTAATGGGAAATAGAACAGAGGAAAGAGACAGATCGGAAATGTATCTGAAAATAATACTGACAAAGAAAATAGATATTCTGTTAAAAAAAAAGAAACAAAAAACAACATTATTTTTTAGATAAGGTGAAATGGAATCAGAGAAAATTCTCAACAAAAATAGCACTGATGAAGGAGCCTTCCTTCTGCATCAGAGGAGCCATCACGCAGACAGAAAACTCACCCACAGTTCAGTGAAGTAGCAGAACTGTGTCTTATCATCAGAGGCCAAACACCTGTGGGATGAAATGAAGGCTTTCTGCAGTGTTTTAACAGCTCCAACACTGTTGGAGTGTTGAAGAACGACCCTATGCATGTCTCTGACTTTCCAAGCTCTGGTTCAGAGGGCACCATCATGGATTGCACTGGAACAGCCCAACCAGTGCACTATTTCAGAGAACTAAAGAGCTCTTGGGAATGAGATCAGCCTCCATTTGCCTTCTCCAGCTCTCTTTGCCAATCTCCCTTCATCTTGCTGGCTTTTAAAGTGCTCTCCAGTTGCCAGCTTTGATGGACATGGCTACAGAATGAGGTGTGTCATTACCTCTCTTCCTCAGACTATTTAGTTATAGAGGTTTGTAAATATCATAACCCAAGGGTAGGTGGTTTATTCCATCACTGGTCTTAATCACCTGCAGTTTTCAGTCTTGTGACTGGATACCTGTGAGGGGAATATGCTGGGGCTGAACATGTTTGGAATTAATCTGCTTGTTTTAATGGGTCAGCCAAGAAAAAACAGAACTAGGCAGATTGGTAAAACTGGAACAAAAAAAAAATCTGCCAAATCCATTTTAATGCTTCCCATTCACAAATATTATGAGCAATAAAAACCAGTGGTCCTGCACAGGTAACCTCTGTGTCAAAGTCTTTCAACAAGTTCTAGTTGGAAGCATCTTCTCCAGTGTATCACCACAGGAATCCAATTCACAAATGTCATAGTGTGCAACACTCATAACAGAGCACTAAGGGCTGCAAATTAAACCACAAACAAGAAAGGACTCCTTAAACTCTCTGACCTTGTCTATCTCAGTGATTGCTAAACTGGCTGTAAAATTCATGACCTCGCCTGATTTCACAAAACCATCCTTGCCTCAGTCTGCAAAAGTCTGCAAAATATAAAGATATAATTTTTGTTTGCCCCCATTTTTTCCTCTTAATAATTTAACTTCTGAGATTGAAATTGTCAGTATGTTTAGAACTACAAAGCTTTGCAAAGTTTTATGTAATTGCTGTACTTTTGTAATCAGGTCATTCACAACAGTGAAGGTTTTTTCCTTACTGCACATACCTTCCAGATCAAGTCTGTTTTTCTTTTTCCTATTTTTAAACAAAAGACAGATTTAATACTTTACCTAAACAGACTAATTAGTTGGTTAGATGTTTGTAGGCTGACTGCTGAAGGAATAAGTAGATTGCATTTCATTAATCAAAATCAGCTTTAAAACCCTATTGCGCATAAAACATTTACATTTTACAAATCAGCTGACACATTCCCAGACTATCCATTAGAGATTTGCTTGTGCTTATCTAGGGTTCTACTGCTTCCCAAGGTTGCTGTGTATCTAATGTTAATAACGTGTTCCAGTGACCTCCACGATGAAAAAAATGCTGCCCTTGATTAGACACAAATTATTTCCCTCTACTTTACTTGGTGAGCATGAAAGTGGTTAGTGTACTATTACACCATGCATAATTTAATGTTATATTTATTATTCTCCTGTTTATATGGACTTGGGGTTGAAAACTTCAATATTTATGTACTACTGAACTCTAAAATAACGTAAGGAAAAAAAAACCCAAAAAACTCCCATAGCACAGGCAAATGAAGTAAGAGAATGTCTTTGAGCAGTGCTTATGGACTAATATATATGGAACTTTGCAATCACAGGGAAAATGTTGTCAAGGGACTTAAACAGAAGTTTTTTATTAATTAAACTGTAACATTGAATATTTCCAAATAGCAATGGAAAAGGCACAACTTAAAAAGGCAGAATAGTTCAAATGCAGTTTAAAAAGTGCTAGCTGTATTTCCTCTTTGCTTACTAACAGCAGTGCAATGCTCTGCCTCAGACTTCCCAGGAGCCATTTCCAAATTGCTCCATCTCTCCAAATCTATGAAATGAGAATAATAACAATTCTTATCTTCTGCTCTAAAACCCTGCCAAGGTCTCTTGTCAGGTGTTTGTGCAAAGACTTCCACAGTGGCTCTGAGCTCAAGTGAAGTCTCTGGGCACTGTTGAAATTTAAATAAAATTATTACTGGTGACTATTACCAGTGATCACCATCTCGCAAAACTTAACCGTCAGCTGCCATACAAATGGTCGGTCTGAACATGGCAATTGTAATTTCCCCTATTCCAGAAGTGATTTCCATCTATAATTTATGTGGCTATAAAATTTAAATGGCTCAGCCTCTCCTCCTCTGCGTTTGTGATTCACCTGATCGAACAGACACAGTGTGCTCAACAGTGAAGGGATGCTGTCTCACCCACATAATGGACTTCCTTCTTTCCTTTTTTCCTTCTTTCCTCCTTTCCTCCTTTCCTCCTTTCCTTCCTTCCAGGGCAGTCCTACAGGGATATGATCCCACTCCTGAGGAGCTCTCCTGCTCCTTTCAAAGGGTGAAGGAGGAAGCACCATGAGCTTCATCCCCAACAGCACAGGCCAGAATAAGCAGTTGAATGTTATATCCAACTGCTACCTGATACATGCAGTTTCTCCCTCAAAGCCAAGCAAAGCCTGAATTCATTACAATATCATGAGCTTTAAATAAATTAACACCCAGCTTGTGTCAGGACTCTGTGCGTGCTGAGCAATTTGCATTCTGTGCTTCCGTGGATGTTTCTTCTCTTTTGCAAACTCTCCTTTTGGCAGAAATCAAATCAGGATACGATGGATTGCACCTAATTCTAATTCTTCACATCTTTTCCTTGAACTGTGCTTAAAACTAATATGAAAATTGTAGATTGAAGTTTTAAAAAAAGTTTATATTAGGGCAGAAGTTAAATTAAGCAAGTGTGACAGAACGCCTGTCAGACTGGACTGAACTTGGCCATCCTGATGGCCTGGGTTAATGATCAGTGCCCCTCCCCAGGCAGGCTGGGTCATGCTGTTAGAATCACAAGGAGTTTATGAGTCTCCAGCAGCATGGAAACGACAAAAATTCAGCTCAGGGATGAAGGCTGAAGCATCAATGCCACTGCAGATGCTGGGACCATTCCTGCAGCACACCTTGGTGCAGCCTCAGTGTGAGGTGTACATCTCCCTCTTCCAACCAGCACTATTTCCTCACAAAGCAGCCCTTGAATACTCCAGATGTGATTTATAACTGAACACATCTTGCTGCAGAATTTTTGTATTTATTATACTCAGGTTTTTCCCACTTCAAATGCTTTTTACTTGGTGGAGTTTTGCAAAGGAAAAAAAGCATGAAGGGTTTTTACCTGCAGGTACTTTTATGTATCTCACATGTTGCACACATGCACAAGCATCTTGATCCTGTCTGCCCTCTGTTTCCTACACATAGAACTTGACAGTTCCTATTAACTTTTTCAACAATGTTACTGAAGGAAATTACTTCCTAATTATGAAGAAATAAAAATAACAAGGTAATAAAATGATGTTTAATCTTTCGGTTAATTTAGGACCTAGCCTGCATTTTTGTAATAAAATTTCAAAATATATCAAATCATTCTTTCTTAATTTTAAAACCAAATACAACTCTCCTTGCAGACAACCAAACAACCAAATTACAAAATTATGCAGGGCATTCTCAATGTTCCTCTGACAACTCATCTGGGACACCATGCCCAGGACTTTACCGATGAAAGAACCACAAAGAGATTGATCTCCAAGAGAATAATATGTTCCCAGTTATTCATAATTTTAAGGATAAAAACTGTACACACTTTCCTTGCATGTCAAAATAATAAAGGTATTTAGTGTTAGGACTTGTTTCACAGCCAGCCCTAATTTCTTATTGCATCACAATCCCTGTGTGCTGTGTACTCCTCCTGCCCCTCCACCTTCCACCTCTAAGTGGTAAATTCAGAAAGGAAGGTACTTCTTTATGTCCTGCCCCCTCCTTCAGCAGTTACAGAACCACAGAATAACCTGAGTTGAGTGGAACCCACAAGGCTTATGGAGCCCAAGTCCTGAATAGCCACAGACAAACCTCAAATTTTTGGTAAAATGCTGCCACTATCAACAAAGTTCTCCTATGGCACTGAAATCCCGCCTTGATCATTAAGTCCTGAGGTTTTGGAGAAACATTTTCTGATTTATCTTAGTTTGAATTTAATTGAATTCAGTTATTTATAAACTCTGTTACCTTCTACCCTGCTCGCCCTACTGTACCACGGTCTGTTGATTAAAGATCCATCTATTGCTTAGCAAGGTCGTCTCACCCATGAAAGCTGTTTATGTATGGGATGCAAGCTCAGGGCATATTGATCCATAGGATGAAAAGAGATCATAGGGCAAAATGCCCTGACTATTTTTAGTTGGGTTAATTTTTTTCCCCACTATCAGCTAAAAGGAGATGACTGTTTAATGTATTGTGCTGGCTCCCTTGCTTTTCAAAGGAAAAGCCATATATGCCTGTATGTGCTGCAGCTTCTCTGTCACTTCCATTCTGCAGTTTGCATTAGTGACACTAAGAGAGGATCTGAGTGACTGCTGGCCCACGCTCAGGAGCTCAGTCCAGCTCTGTGGTGAAACAACACCAAGCATTTCGAGCCCTAGACACATTCAGTCCAGGATTGTCAGGGATTACTTGGCTCATGATGTTTAAATTGTATCAAAAAACTGTTTGCAGAAG